CTGGTTGGATTCTAAACAGGGAACAGCCGTTGTTCCCATGGGAAATGGTTGGGAGTTTGTCATGTGATAGCTGTCTCCAAGCTGAGTGCTGACTCTGTATATAGTTGTCCTTTCTGCCTGAGAGAGTATCTGAGCAAGGATGATATAAATGTCCTTCTGGGTTAACTCAAAAGTCATAGATGTCTAAACTTGTCTAGATATTTTTTCGGGTCATCTGAGAATTTTCCTTAATCTTGTTTGATCCAACTGAGGTCCTGCATGCAGAAGGAATCTCTGATACTGATGGAAGTCTGGTGGGCCCTATGACTTGCTGAGGTGGGCAGAGTTTAAGGAGTCTGGAGCCCCAGGTTAGAGGGCAAAGCATTGTTGAGGGGGGGAGGGAGCAGTGGTGTTCAATGCTGAGTATAGTGAAGAAGAGATCTGTGGTCCAAGAGGCTCCTTCTTTTGCCGAGAAAGAGCTCCTGTGAACAGGGATCAGTGGCTGGTTGATGGTTAGTATCATCAGGAGAAGGGGAAGGGCTTTTGTAGGCAAGTGAAGCATTGCCAAGCCAGCAGAGTCTACCCGACAAGTCTTTCAAAGTTCAGACTTTTTCCTTAAGGCAAGGGAGACTTTGACATAACAGACCTCGCTCGAATGCTAAGGGCAAGTCTTCAGCGATGGACAATCAGTTACCCATCGAAAAGTAAATGACGAATGCTCATAAGGGGCTTGAGGTGTCGCTGACGTCCCTCGTGGCCTTTTCATGGCTGTGGCTTCCCTCACCTGTGATCTTGCAGGGCAGAATGTGGTGAAGTTCTCAACCCAGGGGCCGCCGTGGCTTCCCTGAGTATTTTTTTTAAAGAAGTTATTTATGTATTTAATTTTGGTTACGCCGGCTCTTCATTGCTGCCTGTGTGTTCTCTAGTTTCGAGGAGCAGGGGCTACCCTTCACTGGGATGCACTGGCTTCTCATCGTGGTGGCTTCTCTTACTGTGGAGGCCCGGCTCTAGGACGCATGGGCTTCACTAGGTGCAGCAAGAACTGGTGAATTAGAAGAGGTGTTAGGAGATTGCTGTTGTTGTTCAGTCTCTAAGTCATGATTGACTCATTGTGGCCCCATGGGTTGTAGCCCGCCAGGATCCCCAGTCCATGAGATTCTCTGGGCAGGAATACTGGAGTGGGTTGCCATTCCCTTCTCCAGGGGACCTTCCCAATCCAGGGATCGAACTGGGGTCTCTTGCCATTTCAGGTAGATTCTTTACCGTCTGAGCCACTGGGGCAACCATATTTCAGAAGGTAGCCAGAAAAGTTTTAGCTGAGTTTCTTTTCTTTTCTTTCTTTGTCCATTCTCTCCCTATCCTGTAAACACAGTCAGCTTGAATTTTATCAACACAGAGTTGAGGCATTCATGGCATACAGCGTCTGGATTTGTACACTCAAAGGCAAAGATATTGGGAGTCTAGGTGCAGAGAAAGGCAGAAGAAAGTGACTTTAATTCTAGCACTATGAGCCAGTTTAACAGCCGATAGTTTAAAATTTTCGATGGGGTGGCATGGAGACCTCCTCTACTTGAAACCTATCACATCAGGTTGTGACTAAAATCCACGTGGCCAGGACTCCAACCACCCCAAAATCCAGTTTGGGACTTGAACCACAGTCTCTTAATTAGAATCACTCACCTGGTACATGGAGTTGCTGTGGCTCAGGTTCTTGTGTGTCTCAGTGCAGAAGGAATTCAGCAAGAGGCAAAGTGTTAGGCAAGAAATAGATTTATTTGTATAGGATGCTTGTAAGAGATGCAAGCAGGCGGGTGATGGAGCTCTGCCTGGAGGATTAAGTGGAATACATTTATAGTTAAGGGAAAGTGGAGGACTAGGAAAGACTGCCTTCTTTGAGTAGAGGTCAGGCTTATCTCACTCGCTCTGAATTTGTTTGGAACAGGAGAGTGTGTGACCTTATATGGTCAAACGTAGATTATTGTAGCACTTCTTCAAATCAATAGAAGGGTGGTGACATTCTTCTTTAACCTAAAGGCCTGGGGGACATCTCATGTATTATATATGGCTTTATATTTAAATGAACCTGCTTCCTTCCACTACATTCTGATACCTTTCTTGAACTATGTTAACTTAAGGTGATCTACCAGTGGTTCCTAGGTTTCTCTATCTCTATTCCCCACCCACCCCCGCCTAGATGTCTAGATCCACCTGTCTATCTGTCTGTGCTCAGGCCCTCATTCATGTCTGACTCTTTGCAACCCCATGAACTGCAGTGCTCCAGGCAGTCTGTCCATAGGATTCTCCAGGCAGGAATACTGGAATGGGTAGCCATTTCTTCCTCCAGGCGCTGTTCCAGAACAGGGATCAAAACTTCATCCCTTGCATTGCAGGTGGATTCTTTGACACAGAACAACCTGGGACCTGTATCCTATGCTATTCTATCCCTGTCATATGGAGGCCAGGTCCCCCAGCCAAGAGCAGTCTTTTTCCTTTGTGGGTGCCTTCTTCATGAAGGTCTCCAGCTTGGACTGTTGTCTGGCATTTAGTGAGCAGTCTTCTTCTCAACAAGTGGAAGGGGAAGTCATGCATAAGCAGAAACATCAAAGGTAAACTTTCCTACCAAGGACTTGAGGGGAGGGGCAGGTCACTTGGTTTGGGGCCTTCCTTCAATTCCCATTATCATGGAGGATTAGAAGGACAGAGGCCCAGGGAAATCAGTTCACACAGGGTAGCTGACCCATGTATGAAATAAGTGTCCTCCCTGCCACAGCAGCGGTTACCTGAAGCTCCTCTGGAGAAATGACCAGGTGTCCTCTGGGAACTTCTGGGAGGTCTTGCAACTCCTCTGTCTTTACCTGAGGACATGTGCTCAGAGTAAGGCCCACAACTCTCTGAGACCCGATAGAAGAAAGCAAAGGTTGCCTAACTTACCACATCTACCTGTGGTCTCTCAGGACAGAAAACTATGGCTGGCAAATTGAGGCCTTCTGACGGCTGGCTGCACCAGTCCATGCTCAGGCTCCTCGATTTGACTCCTGGGAAGACCTGTATTTCCTCCCTCTCTTCACTATTACTGTCCTCTCTCCAGGTCCTCACACTGACCTCCCATCTCCTAAGGAGGCCTGTCCTCTCATGCTACAGCCTTGAATTCCCTGAGACCATCTCAGAGGATGTGAGGGCTCCCTTGTGGACATGCCTGTCTGTGGTCACTCATGGCTGACCCTCCGGGAGGGATTCTGTGGTGTCCCCACTTTTATAGTGTGAGTGGTTCCTTTAGTCCTCAGGGTACTCTACTTGACTCTTGGCATGACCTGGAATTCCTATTGGGGTTGACCCCTGAGCCCCAGCGCCTCACCTCCTGAGATGCTCTAAAAGGAAATGTGTGGGCTGCATCATGCCCGTGTTTCCGAATTTGCCAAGGGAGGTACAGAGGGCCAGGGATGTGTTCTAGGCGCAGTCCCTTTATCCTCGTTTGGAGTCACTGGTTTTCCACTCTGTACTGAAGTGAGGCTTCTCCCAGTGGACCAAGGCTCTCACCTCCCTGAGACCACTTCAGCAGAAAGAGAAGCACTTCGGCCAGAAAGCTTTCTCCTGGGCCTCGTAGGGCTGACATCAGGGGTGTGCCTCCACAGTCTCCTCTGTTCTGGGCTGAGTGGTCCTCTTGCTCCCCCTTCAGGGACCTCATCCTCACTCCTGACCACACCCAGAGCGCACCCTCCACTGACCTGAGGCTGTGCTCCTCAGAACAAAGGCATTAATTTCTTGGGAGTTCTGGATTGGAAGACAGGATGAACCAGATGTGTGCAAAGCTATTGGGGCCTTCTGAGGAGGAAAACATTATAGGGCTCCACTCTTCTGGATTCAGTGGCCCCCCCAGTCTTAGATCAGGTTTCTTACCTTGACTTCTGGTAGCATATGGGAATCCACCCTCTCTGCTGGCTGAATCAGTTGGCCTGTGGCCGAGGTTTTTGCCTTCTTGAGACAACAGAATGGTAGGTTATAGAGCTATTCCCTGGCTACCCTTGCCTGCTCCTCCGTGCCATCCCCCTCGCTATGGGGGCGTCCACTCATCAGCACCCAGTGTCCTCACTGTAAATCCTATGAAGTCCTGTTAGGGTCTCCGACTTGGGCAGAATTGGAGCTGCTGCCGCAAGGCCAAGGCGCTCAACTCCAAGAACCCCTCCACCCTTGCCCTGCAGGAAAGGTAGGCGCACCTCAGACAGACTGCTCTCCTCATGGCCACACAAGGCAAGAAGCAGGATATAGTTTGTGGGATCCCCTAGTGTTCTAAAATCTTCCCCTTGATAACTCAGAGGCTGGGACTCCTCCATCCATTGACCTGAGGACACAGCCCTTAAGCTAAGGCCGTTATGCCCCTGAGAATCGGGAAGGATAAATGAGGGCATATGGATCTTTTCAGGGTATCTGACATTGGATGTGTTCATGACCACATTGTCCATGAGTAGTTTTGTCTTCATTCATACCATTCACTTAGGAACATTATTTTAACTTTATTCCAAAAACAGTGCTTTGGGACAGGGCCCCAGGTATCCAATGGCATACATTTTTTGGAGCGTTTAGAGGAAAAAGGAATGAAAAGACATGATGTCTGGCTTAGGCTGGGAGAAGTGGCACTTTGTGGGCTCTGCACTAATCCAGATCAGGGCATTAGTCCTGGGAAGGTCACTTCATCAGTTTGTGAACTTGAGAAAATTGCACGTAAATCCATGAACGGAGTCTGCCAAATCCAATCCTGTGTGAATGCTGGAATGCATGTACTACATATAAAGCAGTGGCAAACTGATGAAGAAGTATTGTTTTGTAACAAATGGAAGTTATGATTACTATGAACCCCTGTAATACCACCTTCCCATCTGAAATTATTTTTAATCCAGGACAGAACAGAGAATAGGCAGTAGATTACTACAAAAGAAACAAATATTCTTAAATGAGTTCAGTGAGTCAAACTATTTTTTATTTTTACTAGAAGAAAGTTTAAAAGAAATGAGGTAAACCACAACTTAAAGACTTTTGACTCTATTTTTTAATCTATTTTGTTTGTGTTTTTCAGTATTTTCTGGGGTTGTCTTTCACATTTCCATGAAGATCTCTTGCAGTGCTATGTTACCTACTTCCAGATCATGAAGACAATATAGATGGTTAATGAATATCTTTAATTCTACCAAAAGTGTACCTTTTAAACTTTTATAACAGCAATAAATATAAGAGCAGTATCATTACCAAATTAATACTCTGAAGAAAAACAAACTCTTAGAAGTACAAATATTTGAAATAAATGAAATAAACAATATGTAGAAGTTATTCATGTGAAACAAAAAGATCAATGAGATCTAAATTTTATGACTCCACCCCTACGACCCTGCACTCTTTAGAAGCTTGACTGCCCTTCCAGAAAAATTCTCTTCTAGTGTCATGTTATCTTGTTTAGATTGTGAACAACATATTCAATACTTTCAGTGTGCTTTACAAATCCCCAAACTTGAAAACATTAAAACAGCAAGAAACTATGATTTATAATTCATACATTTGAATTCTGAAGCACAGTAACCTTATCAAAAGTAAGAACATTTGAAAACACTAAACCCCTCCTTTATCTCTTTACCTATCTACCTTAAATCATCTTTCATTAGGTATTTCTCATATGGATAAAAGAAAACAGATATATATTTTGTTAAAACAAGCTGCACCTAAACTCGCTTACCATTTAAACTGTAAGAACATATGGGTTTTGTTTCCTACACCCTACTAGTCTGCACTATTTAGGAGCTTGACTGCTCTCTTCCAACACAAAGGGAACAAAGTGGCCTGCCTGCCTCCCTAGATGTGGGAGGAGCTGCAGGGCTTGACCCTGGAAGGGGCACTGGCCTCGGCCATGGTTGGAGCCCTGGCCGCGCCTCTCGGCCCTGCTCTCTCTGCCTGATCTCTCAGAGCCTCCTCATAGAGGTCTGGGAAGGAACTAGGGACCGAATGGAGGATCTTGGCCACAACCTCCAGTACCTTCATCTTACTGGTCTCAGCACAAGCTCTCGGGCCCCACAGGAACTCATAGCGCGGAGGATCACTATTGGGCACCTGGCGGTAGTTCAGGTATTCCTTCTGCACCAGATCTTTGGTGATGAGCCTCCTGGGCTCCCCAAAGAAACAGTGCCTCCTCCCAGCATAGATTCCCAAGATACTGAGGAATTCCCAGACCTCCCCCTCGGTGGCCCGGTTACCATTTAGGAAGATGACCCCCAGGAGCAACATGAGGAGACCGGACTTGGGAAACCCACCCTCATCATTTGGATCTTCGTCGCCCTGGGCAGTGTGGGTTCAGTTCAGTTTCAGATAGCTCCTTGTTCCAGCTTACACTTCTCAATATCTATAGGCCCCTTCCAGTGTAGTCGGTGTTAACTACAGGGATTTTAATCTGTTGCACCTGTCACTTCTAAAGCGGTTCCCTTTGTTTATTTGGCTTCTGTTTACAGGTCTCTGCAGTGTCTAATTTCCACCCTGACACAAGTAGGTGGAGGTGGTCTCTTGTTCACGTTCGCTTGTTCAGTCGTGCTGTGGGGAGCAGGGGGCACTGCAGACAAATGTCACTGGCATGTGTGGGGAGTGCTCACAGTGTTCCAGCCACACTGGGTTTGCCCCCGCTCATGGTGTGTGTGTTTTCCCCGTCTACACTGCTCAGTCTCCAGGCTGCTCTACAGGGAGCAGACCCTGAGTTGCATGCACTTCCCAGGCTTAAGCCCCTCAGGTTCAGATTTTTGGGTACTCCACAATGGCACAGACTCGGTTAGGCCTGCGTTTTGTGCCTTCCCGGGTCGGAGCAGCTCAGGCAACCAGGAGCTTGACAAGCGCACTCTCCCTGGGTGCAGTGCACCTTATTCTCTCTGCGGTCCCATCCTCAGTCCAGGCGTGCTGGTCAGGTGCGCCTGTGTCTCTTCTGGGAAGCTGATTTCTGGCTGTGACCCTCCCGGCGGATGTCAACCACCCAGAATTTCAGGAAGTCTTTGGTTAGAGACTGGAAGCCTGTTTGCAGTTTGGTAGGGGATGCCATCTCTGGGGCCGAGTTTGCCCCTTTCCCCTCCCCCCTGCCTCCTGCCTCCGGTGGGGGATGGGCCAGTCTGCAGCCAGCCAGCTCTTCTCTGGTATTCACTCAGTCCTTTGTTCTGGGAAAGGGAGAGCAGGTAGTGCCTAAATTTAGGGCTTTTCCCAGGTTCATTCTCATTCTCTTGCTATCCCACACTTTAAGTTGCTATCTCTCGTTAGCTCCCTCAGATTGCCCTCAGGGCTTTCAGGCCTGGTCCTTACCCTAAGCAATGTTGGCCGCTCCTCTCTGTTCAGCCCCTACTTTCTGGTGGCGGATGCGAACGTCTAGGGTACTTTTCTGCTGGGAGTTGTTTTTAGGCATGTAATCTGTGGGTTTTATTTATTTTTCCTCCCAGTTAGGTTGCCCTTGGAGATTCGAAAACCTCCCGCAGACCCGCCAGTGAAAGGGTTTCCTGGTGTTTGGAAACTTCCTCTATTAAGACTCCCTTCCCGGGACGGATCTCTATCCCTAACTCTATTGTCTCTCTTTATATCTGTTATATTTTGTCCTACCTCCTTTCGAAGACCATGGGCTGCTTTTCTGGGTGCCTGATGTCCTCTGCTAGCGATCAGAAGTTGTTTTGTGGAGTTTTCTCAGTGTTCAAATGATCTTTTGATGAATTTGTGGGGGAGAAAGTGGTCTCCCCGTCCTATTCCTCCACCATCTTAGCTCTCTTTCTATTTTTTTTTTAATTTTAATTGGAGGCTATTTGCTTTACAATATTGTGGCGGTTTTGCCATACATTCACATGAATCAGCCATGGTTGTACATGTGTTTCCCATCCTGACGCTCCCTCCCACCTCCCACCCCATCCCCTCTCTCAATGTCATCTTCGCAGTGCACCAGCCCTGAGCACCCTGCCTCATGCATTGAACCTGGACTGGCGATCTAGTTCACATATGATAATATACATGTTTCAGTGCTATTCATTGCTCAAATCATCCCACCCTCGCCTTCTCCCACAGAGTCCAACAGTCTGTTCTTTACATCTGTGTCTCTTTTGCAGTCTCACATATAGGGTCATTGTTACCATCTTTCTAAATTCCGTATATATGTGTTAATATACTGTGTTGGTGTTTTTCTTTTCTGATTTATTTTGCTCTGTAGAATAGGTTCCAGTTTCATCCATCTCATTAGAACTGATTCAAATGCATTCTTTCTAATTGCTGAGTAATATTCCATTGTGTATATGTACCACAGCTTTCTTATCCATTCGTCTGCCAATGGACATGTAGGTTGCTTCCATGTCCTGGCTATTGTAAACAATGCTGCAATGAACATTGGGGTACAGGTGTTTCTTTCAATTCTGGTTTCCTCGGTGTGTATGCCCAGCAGTGGGATTGCTGGGTCATATGGCAGTTCTACTTCCAGCTTTTTAAGGATTCTCCACACTGTTCTCCATAGTGGCTGTACTAGTTTGCATTCCCACCAACAGTTTAAGAGGGTTCCTTCTTCTCTGCACACTCTCCAGCATTTATTGTTTGTATACTTTTTTTTTCCATTTATTTTTATTCGTTGGAGGCTAATTACTTTACAATATTGTAGTGGTTTTTGCCATACATTGACATGAATAGCTTTTAAGTTTCATTAGGTCCCATTTGTTTATTTTTGCTTTTATTTCCATTACTCTGGGAGGTGGGTCATAGAGGATTCTGCTGTGATTTATGTCAGAGAGTGTTTTGCCTATGTTTTCCTCTAGGAGTTTTATGGTTTCTGGTCTTACACTTAGATCTGTGATTCATGGGGTCGCAAAGAGTAGGACGTGACTGAGCGACTGAACTGAACTGAACTGAACTGAACATTACCTAGTGACTCAGATAGTGAAGAATCTGCCTTCAATGTGGGAGACCTGGAGTTGTGAAGATCCCCAAGAGGAAGGCATGGAAACCCAATCCAGTATTCTTGCCTGGAGAGTCAGCATGGCCACAGGAGGCTGTCAGGCTAGAGTCCATGGGGTTTCAAAGTGTTGGACACAGATGAGCAACTCAGCAAACACACAACAAAGTTTGTGCTGGTTTTTTAATAACCTCTGGGCCATACTTTCACATCCAACCCAAACTTTGTTGCCCCATGGTCCTGGCATGGGGCCTCTGAGATGCTGCCTCCGATACCCTCAGTGAAACAGTAGAGGTTCATGGTCCCAGGGCATACTTGAAGAATCAGGGGCTCAACTTGAAAGCCTTTTCCTGCTTATCCTTTTGTCTGCTTCCCTTGTAGGCTGCACACCTATGTCAGCCTCAGAGTACTCCCCCTACCTGGGCACTCATATGGTCTAGTTCAATGGAGACCTGTTATCCATCATAGATTATGTAATTTTGTGTTTTTGCTTTTGTTAATAGTTTTCTTTATTCCTTATATAAGTTTTCCATGTTTTTTTTCTGAATACAGGAAATAGTAGCCCATGGTTGATTGTGGTCTTAGCTGCTCTGGATGGGGTATTAAATCTGTAAAGGAGTTAAGGAAAATTGACAGTCTTACAATATCTGCTTCTCCTGAATACACATAACATAGCATTTTGTTTGACACTTCTTTTTCCTAAAGCTTTCAGGAAATTCTTCTTGTTGCTTCCATGTGGACTGTATACATTTTTCTAAGGTTTCTTTGTAGGTATATTTTTTATATAATTGCTTTTGTTTATGTTGTATTTTCTATTACATGATCTGAGTAATTGTTGACTCTTCCAGAGCAGTCTCTTGATTTTGCTGTGTTGATCTTTTTACACAAGATTTCTGAAGTTCCTTATATTTGTCAATATTTTCTGTGCCTGTCCCCTAAGAATTTTAATTCGAGGATCAAATTTTTACCATCATCTTTTGTTTTTCATTTTCCTGAATCTTTTTTATTTGTCATTTTTGTATATAACTCAGTACTGACTATGTGTTCTTATCTTTTTTTTTCCTATTTTTCAAATCAGTAGAACTTTAAAAAATTGTTTTAATTGGAGGATAATTGCTTTATAATGTTTTAGTTCCTGTTATGCAACAGAATGAATCAGCTATAAGTATACATATACCTCCTGCCTCATGAACCTTTCTCCCACCCACTCATCTCACCCCTCTAGGTTGTCACACAGCACTGGCTGAGCTCCTTGTATTATATACAATTTTGCACTTGGTATCTGTTGTATACATGGTATTCTATATTTGTCAGTGCCACTCTCAATTCATTCCACCCTCTCCTTCCCTTGATGCATCCACATAACCATTCTCTACATCTGTGTCTCTATTCCTTCCCTGCAAATAGGTTCATAAGTACCATTTTCTATATTCCATGTATATGCATGAATATACACTCTTTTTCTGTTTCTGAGAAACAGTGTTATACTTCACTCTGTATAACAGGCTCCAGGTGCATCCACCTCACTACAAATAATTTAAGTTCATTCCTTTTTATGGCTAATATTCTATTGTATATGTCTAACAAAACTTCTCTATCCATTCGTCTCTCAGTTGAAATCTAGGTTGCTTCCATGTCCTGGCTATTGTAAATAGTGCTACAGTGAACATTGGGTACAGGTGTCTTTTTAGTTATTCCTTTGTCAGTGTATATGCCCAGTATTTCTATTGCTGGGTCATATAGTAGTTTTAATCCTAATTTTTAAAAAATCTTCCTACTGTTCTCCATATTGGCTGTATCAATTTCAATTCCCACCAACACTGCAAGAGAGTTCCCTTTTCTCAACATTTACTGCTTGTACAATTTTTGATGATGGCTCTTCTGACCAGTATGAGGTGACACCTCAGTGTAATTTTGATTTGCATTTCTCTCATGTTGAGTGATGTTGTGCATCTTTTCATGTGTTTGTTGACCCTCTGTATTTTTTTTTAAACAGATTCAGGGTTAGAGAAAATTCAGCAGATAGTATAGAGAGTTCCCATATAGCCACTCTCTTCCTCCACTTGGTATCTTCTATTATTAACATCTTGTACTGGTTCAGTGGATACAAGTTCATTTCTTACAATTCATCAACTAATATCAATATGTTATTATAAACTATTGTCCATTGTTTACAATACATTTTGCTTTTTGTGTTTTATAGTTCTTTAGTGTTTGACAAATGCATGACATTATTAACTCGGCCAACACAGTGTTGTGTAGAGAAGTTTGAATCCCCTATGGATCTCCCATGTTCCACCTGTCCATCCCTCAAAACCTCACTTGGAACCACTGACAACTACTGAACTTTTTACTCTTTTAAAGGTTTGCATTTTCCAGAATATAA